CGGGCTGGTGCCGTCCGCGTCTCCACACAGAGGCTGCTTTGTGGCCCTCGGGGAGGTGCTCGGTTTCGTGTCACCATCTCAGGTGTCGCCTGCCGGAATCCATCTCCGTGTTTATCAGCAGCGGTGGTTGTGCCGCTACCTCCGGCCCGGCGCTGGGATTTCAATGGGACGCTGTGAATGACAGCGGGATGGGGGGGTTCCCGGGGACGGGGTGACACCGGGCACGGTGTGGCCACTACAGCGGGAGACGTGAGCGAGGACACTGAGCTGTGCCGGAGGAGCTCGAGGTCACTGCAGTTCCGTGGTTTCATTGTGTGGTGCCTCCCATGAGGAGGTTCCCTCTCCATACAGAGGTGACGTTGGGACCTAGGGGGCACACACGCTTTGGCTCCTCTGCAAATCGCCGCTGCCTCATCCCAAGATGTTCTTTATGGAGCTCCCATGGTGGGCCTGAGCCATAGGGCAGAGCATGGCAAACCATCTCCAGGGGGGCCTGGGGGCCGTAGCACCGCAGCAGGGCCGGCCACCCCGCAGGGCTCGCGTGGTGCAGCAGCTGCAGCAATCCCTGCTGTGCTGCAGCACCCGGCATCCAGCCATGCTGCCACCTCTGGCCCCTTTGTCTAGCCCAGGTGGCAACGGGGCTGTGGGCACAGTGGCTCTGGTGGCAGCAGCGGTGCCACCATGCAGGTGCCATAAGCTGTGCCTGGAAAGTGAGGAGGTGGGGATGGGTGGGAGCTCAGCCTCGCACGGTGCCAGGGGGACACGTGGGGACGTGGCAGCCACCGGTGTGCAGTGGGAAGGAGGAGAGGTGGGGGGATGGTGGGGCTGCTGTTTGTCCCCCTTGCGTTGACCCTCAGGGTGACTCAAGGCTCAGCTGCAGCGTTGCACACAGTGACTCCTGCGTGTCTCCAGCAGCACTCTGGGCTGGGGGTGGTTTGCAAACATATTACAGTGAGGATGGCTGTGACGGCTCTGGCTGCTGCAGGCACAGCTTTGGGGTGTGCAGTTCAGTCTGTGCTCCCCTTGGATCAGAAGGGCTGTGCTCAAAGCTGGCCAGGTGAACGTGTCAGTGCCAGACTCCCCTATAACATCCACGGGTCAGCCTCAGCCCCAGCGCTGCCATCAGTGGGGGAGGGCACTGGAAGGTGACCACGGGCAGTGGGTGTGGGTGAAATTGGGGTGGCACTGCTCAGCTCCAGCACTTCTCAGCTGCGTCCACCCATCTCTGGAAGCTGCAATCTGCAGAGCTCCAGGGGGCTCACGCTGCTGTTATCCCTGAGACAAAGAGGGCCAGGCAGCGTGTTACCTTGGCCTTCATTTTTTCAGCTGGGACCATGGACATGCCATCACTGAGGTCACTGCAGAAAGAGATGGAGCAGGCATGGAGGTACCCACCGCCACCAACACCGACACAAAGTGGCTGTCCCCATGTCACAGTACTATCCCAGCTCACACTGATGGGTTGCAGACCTCAGCAAGGTGGGATGCAGAGAGTGGCTGTCACCTGTATCCCTTGCTGGGAGCTGGCATCACACATCTGCCCAGCCATGCATGTGGTGCTTGGCTTTTTGGTGCTGAGAGCTTCATGTGTGGCACTTGGTTATGTCCCCATCCCTGTGTAATAGTGAGTGGCACTGGCCATGCCCTGCCAAGCCCAGCACCGTCCTGCTGCCCCACAGAGCTGGTGGCAGCAGCGTGCCCCACACGGACTTTAATTATTGGGTTTCTTCCTTCACAGAGTACATTGGCTGACCTTAATGCAATTAATTAGGCCTTAAGCAACTTCTGGTGGCTGTGCGCATCGCGCGGCCATTGCTGCCTCTCCAGGAAGGCTCATGGGAGGGGAAAGCAGCAAGGAAGGCTGGGTTGGGGCTTTAAGGCAGATCCCGGTGAGCCAGGCACCTGTGGCACATGGCACGTGTTATAGGGCTACCAGGGTGCCAGTGCTGTGCTTCCCCCCATTGCTGACCCCATATGTCTGCACAGTCCCATCCCATCAGGCTGCATTTCCTGGCAGGGTGGCACACGTCCCCCATGTCCCCACATCCCTACTCTGTGACACTGAGATCCCTTGTGCTGGCAGCTCACTGCCTGGAGACCAGGAGAGGTGATCAGAGCCGCCGTCTCTGGTTTGTTTGTTTATTTGGCTGCCAATTCATTAATTTTGAAAAGCTAATTAAGATTCCACAGCCCTTGCCACCCGGCTCTCCTTGGGAGGGTCCGTGGTGCCTGCAGTGCTGGCCAGCCCCAGCCCTCCCATTTGTGTCCCTCTCCGCACTGCCAGCAGTGCCACCTGGATGCAGCCCCTCGAAGGCCAGCGAATAGGAAGTGATATTTGACAATAATCCCCGTGCTCCCCAGGGCAGCATTCTCATATTGCAAGTTATTAAAAAAACACAAGGCAGGCGGCGATAACTGAGAGCTGGAGCACGGATTGCTGCTGGCCAACCTGCCCCAGTGGGAGGGCTGCAGGGGGTGGCATGGCACAGCATGGCATGGCATGGGATTGCATGGGATAATATGGCACAGCATGGTATGGCATGGCATGGGACAGCATGGCACACTATGGTCTGGCATGGCACAGCATGACATGGCACGGGGTGGCATGGCACAGCATAGGATGGCATGGCACAGAATGGCACAGGATGGTATGGCATGGCATAGTATGGCACACTGTAGCATGACATGGGATGGGACAGCATGGCACAGCATGGTGCAGTATGGCATGACATGGCATGATATGGCACAGCATGGCACAGCATGAACCAGGACAGTGTTAATTCCTCAGGGCTGGGCAGAGGGAGGCTGGTTTTGTCCCGTAGGAAATTCAGTCCACTAAGGATCCATATTTACTTGAGCTAGTAGTTTTTGGGGATTTTTTTGTGCTCTTTTTTTGCTGCAAAAATATTGATTTCCATGCAAGAAGGCTCAGCGCAGCTTAGAACAGTTCCTTGTGTGGTTTGAGGGGTTTCTTTCTGGTTTTAAGTCAACATTTCCCCTTAAAATGTCACTCTGGGAAGGCTTCTTTTTTTTTTTTGAGCAAAGTCTGTGATGACATTTTAAGTGGAGAAGCCGCTTTCTGCTTCGTTTCCATATGTCATCTCGAAGCGGGGCGGCTTTATTTTTTCACTCCAGCATTCCCCAGGGGAGGAGCGCGCGGGTAACCTCAGTGCCACCCCCAAACAGAGCCTTTTTGCTCTGCTTTGCAGTGAGGAAACTTCTCCATGCAGAGGTTGTGCCCGAGCTCAGCTCTGCAGCGAAACCCTTGAGTGCCAATGGGCAACACGGGACAGAGCCTATGGGTCAACGTGGGGCAAAGCCGTGGTTTTGAAGCTCAGCTCTTTCTGTTTTCCCTCCACTCCTGGTTTTATCTGGTTGAGCTCGCTCCACCAGCAGCTCGTGGAAGAGGCTAGAGACTGAAGTTATCGGGTTTTTATTTATTAGGGCAATTATAGCTAATGATTCACACGCTCGTGGAGAGTTATTACTCCCAAACACGACACTGTTGGTGTTCCTACCCAGCCTGGGTGCAGTGATTCATGGGCACAGCTTTCCGTATTTCCCTTGGCCTGCTGTCCCACATGTTGGACAAGCAATCACAGACCCTAAAGAGCTGCTGCCCTGGACCCTGAGATGGAGGAGGGTTCCTGGGTGTGGATTTGAGGATCAGAGCCTCCTGGTGCTGCCGCATGGTGTTCTGGATTGGCGGTGGTGTTCCCTAAGGGCTGATGGGGCCCTGGAGTGGCAGAGCACCTCTGCAGCTGCCTAAGGTGATGCTGCAATGTGGAACAGAGGCACAGAACCCTTCACTGCATAACTCTCGGGTGGGTTTCCAGCACCGCCGTGCCCTGGGGCTCACTCTGGTCCTGCACTCCATGAGCATCCATCAAAGAGCAGCGACCCAGGGGAAACGATCCCCGGCTTCATTCCGCCCACGTCCACCTTCGTAGCAGAGGAGCCGTGTTTGTTCACGCTGGTGTCTGGCCTCCTGTCAAGAGCTCCTGCAGGCAGCCTGGAGCTGCTCCTAATGGGCTGCCAGGGGATTTGCACTGACAGCAACGTGCGGGGCACTGACAGCTCCCTGGGTCTGCTCGCTCCTCTTCTACCAGGCCAGACAGCGAGGGGACACACGGGGATGCTCCAGTGCATGGGGATGGCTGTGGGGTGAGCCCCTTCTCCTCTCCACCTTGTGTTTGCAGCAGGGGGGTGTTTGGGGCTGAAACAGCATGAGTGGTACAAGCAGACACAGCGTGGGGATGCTCCAGGATAAGACAGCGATGCTTGACTCAGGTTGGTGCAGGAGTTGGGTTCTGTTAACACAGAGCAAGCGGTCATGCCCTGCTGAAATACACCTCTTGTTTCACACAGGGCTTCTCTGCCTCCCCATGGACCCCCGAAGGAGCTACAGGGCTCCCCGAATCCATCCTGGCTGAGCATGGAGCGCCTCACTGTCCTGTATGGCTTTTTATTCCTATGTGATTATACATCCCACTTCATATAGGGATTGAAGCCGTGCAAGGCGCTGGGGTCCGACAGCGGGGAGCAGCCCATGTGCTGCAGGAAGGCATCCACCACCAGCCCTGCTCCATCCTGCAGCAGCTTCCCTGTGTCACCGAGCATGCAGGAGGAGGAAGAGGAGGAAGAAGAGGAAGAGGAGCCAGGGAATGGCTGCGGTATTGAGGGCTGCCCCAAACGCAGCACTCCTCAAAGTTTCTCAGGAGGCCGCCGCCGCTCTGTAAAGGTTTGCATTAAATCTGTCACGTTAAGGAAAATAGTGGAAATTACTCAGCTCGGGGAAGAGATTAAAGGCAGACCCCTTCCGATCACTTCATAAAAGAAGGGCCCCATTAACACCTAGTGAAATATTAGCCATTAATCAAGCTCAGCGCAAAATAAAACCATCCACATTTATCATTATTGGATCCTTAATGAAGTGATAATGGGAAAGCTGGGGAGCTGTGATATTAATGTCTCCTAAGAGGCAAGAGCAGAGCCAAGGGCAGCAGCCAAGGTTTTTAATTTACTGCCAAAAGCTTGCACCGTTCATAGCACCGATACTTCTCCCAGCCATGAGCAGTGCTTGGCTGTGAGCAGCACACTTTGCAGAGCCTGCCCACCCTGGCATGACCAGCTTGGCTCTCCCACGGCCCCCTGCATGGGGATGAGGACACCTCTCCCAGAGCTGCAGCATGCATTGAGATGGCTAAGCAGGGAGCTCTGCCTGCATGCGTGGTGCTGAGGGGGAGAAGAGCATCGTGCCTGGCCACTCACTTTGCCCACCTGGCAGAACAAACACCAAGGAAGAGAAGGAGGAAGAAAGACAAGGCTATCTCGCTCATCTGAAAAAGACAAGGCAAACACAACACCCATTTGTCTCTGCCAATTCCCCCGGATCTCCAGTTTCAAAACCTCCTGTTGAGAAAGATGACGAAAGTGAAGTTATTTTGGAACAAATCAGTTCCTCTGAAGAAAACTGTACGTTTGTTGGGAAAAAAAGGAAACTGCTCTGGACAATTTTATTTTTAATTTTTAGAGGGTGAAGTGCTGGCACTGCTGCCCAGAGCTATGGGTGCCCATACCTGGAGGTGCCATGGAGGGACCCTGGGCAGTCCAAGCTGGGGGGCAGCCAGCCCATGGCAGGGATGGGTGCTGTGAGGTACCTTCTATCCCAACCATGCTGTGGTTCAATGATTTCTGAGGAGAAAGCAGGGAATGGCTGGAGTTGGAGTCACTCTGGATTTTGCTTGATTAGAATTAAGACATGAAGCATTTGCAGCACTATGGGGCAAGGTTCAGCCAGTCCATCTGGCCCCAGACCACATTTTGGCTTGCATGCCTGCAGGGCTGGCACGTTGGGCACACAGTGAAAACCAAATACTCTGAAGCCCATTGGTGACCCTCGGAGAAAACACCCAAAACAAAGCGCCTTCTCCTGTGCCATCACCCCCCAACAAGCTTTTTGACACTTGGCAGCTCTCCTCAAGCAGATCTCCAAGATGCTTGCCAGCATAAGCAAGCTCAGGCATGCTGCAGAAGACCTTCAGCCCTGAAGCACAAAGGAGACGTGGGATTGTAGTTACCCCCAGGAGCTGGGTTTTGAAATCCCCTTGCGATGAGCTCAGGCTGTGGGCACAGGCTCAGGGTGCTACTGATACCAAGGGGAAGGGGCTAGCCGCCTTGGCAGTCCTGCCAACACTCCTACTTGCCAGATATCAGCTTAAATAACAAAGCAGGAGGTGCACAGCTTCCTCAGAAATCCACCCTCCAATTCTCTGAGCGGAGCTCACGGCTGCCCAGTGATAGCACTACTCACCGTGCTGGCAGGACGGAGAATTTGTGCCATGAGATTAGATCAGCCACACAGAGCAGGCCAGTCTGTCTGGGAAGAGTCTGAGTCAAGCGTGTCCTATTAAATTAGGGCTGGATTTTCAAAGGAGCTCAGCTCCCACTTAGGCTCTGTGACAAATAGGCAGATTTTTCAAAGGAGTTGAATGTGTTGGGTCATAGCGGCTGCTGAGCTGAAGTCCTTTGAATAGGTAGCCAGGGCCCAGCTAAAATTCAGCCCCGCATCCTGGGAAACCCAACTCATCTCTGCTCTCCCATGTATTGCACGGCAGTCAGTGGCAAAACCGGCAGCACCACGGTGTTCTCAGAGGGGTAGGGGGCAGCTCCTTGTCAAAGCAAGGCTCTTGCAGCTTTGCCCTTTGATCAGCTCAGCAGCATGGGTCAGGAGAGCTGAGCATGAAGACTTCCTTGCCTTTTGTTCTGCAGAATTAGCAGAGTTAATCAGAGTGACAGCAACTTCTGCCTCGGCACAGAAGAAAGGTCAGTAGCTCAGGCTGGATGCGCGACTGTTTTCCGGCCAGTTGGAAAACAACACCATGAAAGCTCCTAACACACAGCCTGCCGGCACAGAGGCTCTCCTAGGATCAGAGGGGGTTCCCACACCACACTGGGAGCTCTCTCCAGCAGCAGTGCCACAGCCTCGCTTTCTCCATGCCTTTCACCCACAGCTGAAGCTGTCACAGCAGTGGTGGCTCTCTGCAGAAGTGCTAAATGCAACATCCATATCCACAGTGTGACTCCTTACCTTCTTCTAATCCCAATTACAAGAGCTTGACTGTTCCCGATGCTTTTACTGTGGATTTGCTTTTGCCTAATTAGTAGACTCTTTCTGTCAGAGATATTAGCACCCTTGACAGCAAGCCCTAATTTAAGTAGTTTCGTCTGCAATGTTTATGGCCTTATTTACCCCTGCTCCTAATTAAATGCATCTGAATATCTGCAGAGGGAGCTCTCATGATCTGTCCGTGGCTCTAATTAAAATAACCTGGATGTCCATGACGTTGGTGCCCGTCAAGCCAGTCACCAGGAGATGACGTCCACGCTGGAAGTGGCTGAAGAAGGCATAGGAGTCATTGTTGCTGAGAAAGATCTCTGCATCGAGGCCTTCCCGCAGTGCCTCAGCCACCAGCTCTGGGCTGCAGAAAGCCCCAGCTGCATCCGTGGGCCCGTCTTGCCCGTCTGTTCCCCCACTCAGGAAGATGACATCACACCTGCCCAGGCTGCTGGCCTCAACACCCCGTGCCCTGTGCAGCCCCAGCCCCACTCGCAGAGCCAGCTCTTGGTTTCTCCCTCCCTTCCCAGTTCCTTGAAGCTGAACCGTAGTTTCTCCTCCAGCCAGGATGCAGACCGGTTTCTGGGGCTCCATTCCTTGCAGGGCCTGCAGAAACTCAGCCATGTTCAAACCTGGGATGTCTAACTCTGCCGCCAGCTGCAGGAGATTCCCCTTTACCTCAGAGCCCCGAGGCCCTTCCCCAAGGCTGGCCAAGTGCAGACAGAGCAGACAGATCAGCTGGCAGTACAGCACAGCAACACGGCCAACATCCCCACAGACCGCTGCACTGAGAATCAGGGTCGCATAGCCCAGGCTCTCTGCATGGCGCTTGGCCTCAGCCAAAGCCAACGTGTTTGACCCAATGATGACGTTGCAAACGTGGGAGTAGTCTTCTGCAGCAGTGGGCTTGGGGGGAGAGCTGGAGAGAACTGCTTCCACGGAGCTGGGCAGGCCGTGCAGCAGATTGTATTTGGCCAGGATCTGAAGGCAGTCTTGGATGCTGTGGGAGCTGGCAGCAGTGGGCCCACTCGCTATGATGTCCAGGGGGTCACCAATCACGTCGGAAAGGATGAGGCTCACCACCTGCCAAGAGCAATGCTGGTGGATTACTGTGGGAAGCAGGGATGGCTGACTGCACTTCAGTCCTGGCGTATGCACTGCTCTGAGTGACACTTGTGCTATCCTCATCTCAAAACAGTTGGAAACAAGGGGAGGATCTTGGGCCTTTTTTATTTTAAAGTACCCTGAGAGCCACCTTGCTCTTTTGTAACCCAGAGTGCCCTTTGATGCCGGACTATCACAGTGGAAGACAAAACAGATGCTACTGCACCTGGGCCGATAACCTAGCATGGGTTCAGCTGGCACATCAGTGAGAGAACAGCCTCTGGGTGAGCTGAAAGGTTCTGAAAGTGCAATGGGAGTGAGCAGAGCAATGACCAGCGCGATGGAAGCTCCTGCTGGGTGAGGGCTGGGGTTTGCTGAGTGGTACAATTGGATGGCCAGGTCTGAATTCTTCTCATCCACCCCTCTCCCTGAGAGCTTGGGTCCTCACTGAAGTCGCAAACCCAAAACAACATGCAAATGGCACATTGGTCAGTTGTTCAAACCACTGTTTATGAGACAGATTTCTGTGCAAGCAGAGGTTTCCTCTGGTTACCTGTGCAGGATATGCGAGGCGGGCCAACCCTCCACCCTTCAGCAGAGACAGAATTTTCCGGACAGCATTCAGCTCCTGTATGGCAGCTCCTCGGGAAGCCAGCATCTTTGTGAGCTTCTCCTTCTCCTCCAGGAGAATGGGAGGGATGGGAGCAGGCAGTAGGGCTGATCCACCCCCTAAGATGCAGAAGATATGGTAGGGACTCAGTGCACATTACAGTGGGACAGGAATAAAGTTGGGCTATCCAGTAGCTGAGCAGGAGCAGCCTTTCCCCTTCTCTCAACAGTCTGCAGAGGGAAGGCAGAGCTGGTCAGGGAAATGGCAAATGAAATCTCCTTCAGCAACAGGCTTTAATCACGGCAGCCCAGCACTGTCTGCAGTCAGCTACACTTCACACAGACAGCATAAACCTCACTGGATCAGGGTACCACAGAGAAGGGCCAGAAATTCCTATCCCCACAATATCAGGCTACTAGTACGTTCCCACACTCATTTTCAAGGGCTCCCTGGATGGATGAGCAGGACCACACACTTCAGGACTCACAGAGCACGAAGCATTATGTAGATGGAGATGCTGTAGGCTTTGCTGGTTCTATATATTCAACACAGAACATAGAAAAAACAGCTGTGGCTGCACTAAGATAGGAAACTTCCTTCCTAACTGCACACACCTAGGTCTGGGAGGAAAAAAAAAGGGGACAGAATAACATAGAACAAAGCACACCTGGGATGATAGTTCTATCAGTGGGAATCCTATCAGGGCAACTGACACAAGTGGGCATTGGAAATGTACAAAAGAAGGTAAGGAAAAGGATCAGAATGGTAAAGTGAAATGGGTGGAAAATACAGAATGGAAAGGAGAAAAATGTGAGTAGAGAGTGCACATGCACAAAAGTACAGCTGAAAGCTACCATCAAAAGGCAAAATCTGCTCAGAGGCTTGGGACAAATCAGCATCAATAAAACATGATGAGCAAGAAAAACAAATGCAAATGCCTAGGTTTCAGTCAATAGCCAGGATTCTAGCTGAGAGGCAGCAGCAGTTGGGGACTGGCTGCTGTGTGGGAGTGCACGTGCACCAGGAGCCACAGCCACAGGTAGGTCCTGGTGAGCTGAGGAGTCTCTTGGAGATGCCAGTAGCCAAAGGACAGGAGGACACCCAGGGGAATCCCTAGCGAGAACAGCTAGATGTAAGCTACTTGGGTGACTGCCTAACAGCTCTGTGCTCTCTGCACCACATCACGCTTCAGCAACCACAATGGATACAGTGACAATTACCAAGCAGAGACCAAGTGGTTTCAGCAGAGCTGCTCCAAGCCCTTGCTTGTTTTGTCCTGAATCACCCAGCCAAGCTTGAGCTGTGGCAATGTTACTGCATTCCTCTGATGTACAATATCCACTTCCCTATACAGCCCTGGGCCTGAGGATGTCCTGACCCACCGCTCACCTGGATTGGTCAGGGCTGACCCCTCAAGGTGTGCAGCTGGGGCCTCATTTCCACTGGCCACAGTAAAAGTGAGGGGAAAAAGCAAATCTCTGAGGGTCAGTCCCAAATTAACAAGTTCAGAGCTTGCGAGTCAACCAAGCACTGCATCTCCCAAGTCTGCATCTCCAGATTTAAGGAGGGGATAGAAAAAAAGTGCCACCCTTGCCAAAAGGTGAGAGCAGCTGACAGCCTGTGTACCACCATCCCAGCCTGCATCCCCAGGACTTGGGGCAGCCGTGTGCCCTCCCCTGCTGCACTTCTGAAAAAAATCTTGTGAGAGAAGGGAGAGGAGAAATCACTGAAAGGGCCAGAACAGCACAGCAGTCCTCTGCTGCACAGCTGCACTTGGCCAAGTAGCTGGAGGGGCTGTAGCAGCAGGGGCACTCAGCACAGTCAGATTCCCTGGCATCCCCACCTGAGATAAGCACAAGGAGCAGGTCATCCGCTGTCAGGCCCTCAGCCAGCTCCTGAATGGCACTTGCTCCCCTAAGAGCCTCTGGGTCAGGAAGGTTGTTCTTGGCACCTTCAATGACCTGGATTCTACTGTGTGGCTTCAGCAGCATCTCCCTGCATGGGAAGGGAAGGCAATCACGTCACTGACACGAGTACCTGTGCAGGCAGCCAGGCTGTCACCCAGCAAAGAATCACTCCTGGTGCACCAAAGGGGAATGGAAAATGGACACGGTGGGCACCAGAGCATTGGCAGCTGGAAAAGACTGAGGGTGTTCACAGAAACAACCCACACAGGACAAATCTGGCAGTTTACTCCCACCCAAACTGTGCACATGTCAGCTCCCTTACTGCATTCCTGCTCGCTGCAGGCTCTCCTGGATGCCCAGTGGCACGTTGATGATCCCCCGAACGAGGTGGTCTCCCAGGATCTCTTCTGCCGCTGCCGCCATCCCTAAGACAGCTTTGCCAAACCCCACCAAGTACAGGTCCCTCTTCAACGGGAAGGCACGGCTGTTCACCAGCAGCTGAGGGCACTCCTCTCCCTGGAGCTTCAGTGCCCTTTTCAGCATTGGGGCTGGCCGGACGGTGCCCACTGCGCTTCGGAAGAGGGACAGCGCATGCTCACGGAGGGACATGCTGCCTAGGGTGGCCAGGCTGAGCCACTCTGCTTGGTGGGGTGGGTTTGCACACACACTGGTGAGTCCTCAAGCAACCAAGATCCCCCAACCTGCAAGTGAAAGAGACCATTTTCATTAGCAAAAGAGATGGGGTTGTCACATGGAGAACAATGAGGCCAGATTACGCACCATGGAATTTTAGCTCCTGTTTTCTCTTCAGTAAGGTGCCATATCAGCTGTGTTTTCGCACTACACCCCAGGCAGTAGGGAGGGAAACACAGTGTCACATTCAAACTACCTGTCAACTTTTAGTTCCCCTGCAATTCCATCACCTCCTGCAGGGAAGGTGAGCCCTGCCAGCCAGCTTTTCCATCACTGTACGTTTGCCACTGGCAAGCCATCATTTCAATTTGCTCAGCGTTTGACACCCTTCCAAACCATGCAAGCTGCTCTCTGTCCTGGAGAGAACAGGGCGGCCGGGCGGAACAGCTTTTCGCTCCATGAACTCTCTTCCATGTGCCAGCCAAATGCTGAGCTCATTCTCTGGCTGTGCAGTGCCCCGTGCTCCCCTGCAGCATCAGGCACAGACTTTGGAAAAGCAACAGCTTTGTTAGCTGCCTGCTCCCTTGCTGCCCGCGGCTGTAGAAAGACCAGGAATGAGGTTGCCCCATCAAAAAGCAAATTAACACCTGGCTTCATTCTCTTTTATATTTCAGTTCTTTCATTATCCATTAAAATAATATTTAGAGCCCAAATAGGACCTCAGATCCAGATAAAGTTCCCAGCTGGGTCTGTGAAAGCACATCTGAGCTACTGTCTACTATTGGAATTAAACGCAACAGATATGAGCAAGGACTGCAGAACCTCAGCTTCTCAAGGGCAGACACTCATCCAGACAGTGCAGAGGCAGCCCTTGCCAGCACACATTGTTGATGCCCTCCCAGCACTCCTTCCCTCCATTAACTGGCACTGAGTTCATTGCTGCTTTCTCAGAACCAAGGACCCCTGTGATCTGCATCTCTCCAGCTCATGGCAATTATGGTGTAGGCAATTAAAGTAGGGTGCCAGGAGACTGAGGCAGCCCTGGCAATATTCTTAATTGTAGAAACATTCAAATTACCTGCCAGTTAATTCTCTCTCTACTGAATGGATGTGTTTCAGTGCAAGGCAAGCTTCTGCCTCCTCTTCTGAGAGAACACACAAGTCCAGAGGTCTCTCTTTGTCCTAACACTCCCACAGCATTGCAAGGTTTAATCATTAAGCCAACAAGTTTCCAACAGTTCCTCTGGTCTAAATCTGCCTTATTTTCCTGCAAAGACAGGGGACAGACTGAAAGGCTCTATGAAAATCTCCATACAAGCACATTCTCAGGCAATAAAACTTGGGCACGTGCTGGAAATCATTGGAAAAAAAGAACTTGCAGACAAAACCAAATGGTGGATCACAGGTTTGCTGGATAAAAAAATAAAAAAGAATCAATGCCTATGAGAAACAAATTTCAAAGGCAAAATGCAAGGCAGATAAGTTGCCTATTTAAACTCCCTTTAAATACTGCTTCCTCTAGGAGTGTCTTTTCAACCCTGAGAAGAGATGAGAAAGAGAGTTCCTGACCACTTCATTAACAAGTTCCAAAATCTCATAGCAGCTGGGGCTGTAAGCAGTTTAAAAACCACAGAGCCTCAGCCTTCCTACAGTGAGGACCTGAGTAACTGTGCCAATAGCAGTGAAGTGAGACATACACCTCTTAGGAATTGAGACAGAATATACAAATATACATATGAATGTACATAACAAGTGATTGCTCACCACTCACCAACCAATGCCCAGCTAGCCTCCCCCAGTGAGAAGAAGAGCCAGATGAACTCCCATCCCTTCAAAACTCTCCTTTCATTCAATGTCATGTGGTACAGAATATCTCTTTGGCCACTTTAAGTCAGCTGCCCTATTTCTGTCTCCTCCCAACTTTTCAGTGAGAAAATGGAATGGCCTCAGCCCTGCACAACACTGTTTAGCAATAACTACAAACACTGGTATGTTACTAACATTGTTCTTCACCTAGAACCAAAACATAACATCATATCAGACACTCTGAAATAAAAAACCCTGTCCCAGCTGAAACTAAGATGGCAAGTTTAAGAAAATGAAGCCCCAAAACCTTCAATAGGCTCTGCCTTGATGTTTCTGTGCATGGCTGACCCTGAAGTCCAGGGGAATTGAGCAAAATCAGACCTGCAACTGCAGAGCCTGTCACACACGGCCTCCCAGCGGCTCCTCTCAGCTCCAGCTGCAGACATGACACAGCAGGCACGAGTCATTTAAAAGCAATCCTCTCCTGGTGAAGCTGCAAAAATAAATGCCAGCTTAATTCATCTAGCACTTGTGTACATACTGCTAATGCTTGCTCTGTTCTTGAAAGCATTTCACTACAATAGCAGGCATGTAATCTGTTTTCTGCACTCTGAACTCAGACTGTAATTTAACCACCAAGACCCGATCCAAAGTCTGGTGAAGTCAGCATGTGTGCATCTTTCCTTTTCTTCAGAAGGCCTTAAGGCATGCTATCTGCACAGAAAACCTTACACTGACCTCAGTGCACAGGTATACATGCAGAGGAAGCCCAGTGCAAATCTCCCTGCATCCAGAAGCTACTCAGCTGCACAACACAACAGAGAGCTGCATTTGGCACAGACCCATCAGCTTTGGAGGTCTCCATGCGTAACTCTGCTCCCTGACAGCTCTGATTAGACACACAGGCTGACTGGAGGCTCCCCTTGGAATGAGTATGCTGCTAATGATGTCACAAATCCATGTTAATGTAATTTATTTATACATCTCAAGCACTGGATACTAAATGTCAACAAGGAACAGCTATAAATCAGTGCTAAGAAATTCGCTGTTGATATTAAAAAACACACTCAAAAAACCATACTCATTTCATGAGGGCTTTAAAAACAAGATCAAGAAAATTGAACACCCCACACTGAGGGAGGGGCAGCATAGGAAGGAAAAACAACCCAAATAGCAGCTCTCAGACTACCTCTATAGATGGAGAGTATAGAAATGATGTGACTTCCAGCAAGCTGCTACATCTTGCATGTCGGAAAATACCATCCTCACACCTCTGCATTCTCCTTTTCTCCCTGCTGTCTGGGAGGAATTCAGGGTGGGAGAAGGGACTTCTGAGGTGACTCCCATTACTTCACATACTGACCTTCATTTCTCAGTTTCTCAGGGAAATCACATAGAGATGAACAAGCCCTCCTCTCTGAGGATCCAAGGTCACGCTCTATAGGCGTGAGGTGGAGGTTTTTCACCTTCTTTTTGTCCCTGCTTGGCACAACTGGGAGTTGGGGAATATTCTTTTAGAAAGTTTCCAGGAGTTCACACTAATCTTAGGAGGAAAATGATGCTGAGAACCGCCTGTTACAAAGAGAGCTGTAAGGGGCTTAAATTAATCCCCTTTAAATGAAAACTTCCTCAGCTTTCATTGGTGAATAACGTTCACCATTTGCATACTTGTTTGCATGCATTACCATTATAATTTCTTTCTTCACAGGGCTCCTAAGTCACTAGAAACTTCCACTAACTCTCACTACAAAAAGCAGCAAAACCCCAGTGCTTCATTTTTACCTTCTCTGGGAAAAAGGGAGGGAGAGAAGCTGGACTGTGATAAAACACAGGCAAAACACTCATTTGCACTACCTTTCATTAACTTTTTAATTAAAGCAATTCTGCAGGCAAGGAGCCAATGTCAGAAGGAGACAGAAACAATCCAGCACAGGGGCAGACATGTGGCAAGCTGCCAGGTAAATTGGATGGTGGCAAGAGACCAAAAGCATAGACACAGGGGGGAACAGTCTGAGCCAGAAGCTCGGACTCACGCTGGGGAGGGAAAGAGTGCACAAACGAGCTGTCTGTGCCTATGCAGTGAGAAAAATGAGCCAATGCCTTGCTCCATGGCAGGTATTTGAAAGGTGGAAAAATATTCCCTTTTAGGGCCTAGTCTCCCACCAGTGAACAAAGCAGAGTTATTCTAGGTGCTGTGGTTAGAGGCTTGTTTGAGGATTTGCATCACAGGCTTGTGGCTTTCTTAAAGTTGGGGCAACTGGGCTTGCTGCAGGTTGATTCCACCACACAGCCCCAGTGTTTCAGATGCTGGAAGGCCTGAGGACGCTCTGGGATGTCAAATTTAATTGAGATCTTTGGGGTTCTAAGGCAGTTTATTTCTAATGTCATCAGGACCTCTATGGTTTGCTCTCAGTGTGGCAGTGCTTGGTGGCTGGCCCATGGCATACAAAGCGTACAGGACTCCAGAATCCCTGAGGGATCAAACCCCAATCCTCTGGAGAATAATTTTGAGTTCAAGCTGTAAAAGACAGATTACATCTTTGTTACAGCAGTAAACTACCAGATACAGCAAGTTGTAAGCGTCTCTTGCTACTCTTTTCACTTGCTATACAGTGCTCTTCTGGCCTCTTGGTAGGTAAATTACCATTAGACTCACCTAGGCTTACGGCTTCCATTTTTCATGTGGGAGTTTACCTATGAAGTACAGCAGAGTGGAGATTTTACTGCATTCAACTCCCATGTTCCCACTTACTGACACATTTCTTCTATCATTTGATAGATCAAATTTAATCTGCCTGCTGAGCCCTGCTCAGACTCAGGCTTGATGTTCCAGATGGTCCCAAAAGCATCACAAGAAAATTTTCAAGGAGATGCACTGAGCCCAAGAAGAAAACAAAGCGGTAAAGTTTTGTTCCAAGTGACTACTTGGGAAGGATTAGATGGGGGATTTTCCAAGACTAATCTCTTTAAATGAAAATTTCAGAATTTGATTAATTTTTAAATCTGCGCATGGATTTGCATACAATTACTGCACCGCCTCAGTCACATTTTGTAGAAGAGAAAATATCTGCAGCTAGGATGGACCAGCTGGTCACTGCGCTGCTACAAAGAGCCCAGTACACAAATGGATGTGCAGGAAACAAGGTGAGGGGTCCTTCTGCCCCTGCTCACCACAGTGCTCCTGCTGCACTCACTGGGAAGGAGGATGGTGGTGGACAGAAGTAGTATGAGAAGACAGAGCTGCACACAAGATTTGCCAGGCAGGAATGGGGAAAAGTAGGAATGAATCTGAGCACCTTTGTTTCGAGAATATGCTGAGCTCTGGGAAACCCAGGAGTCCTAATTTCTAATAGATGGCTTTCCAAATGTTTCTTAGAAAAGAAATATGTTGCTCTCATGACTGATTTACTCACTAGGAAAATGTCAACAGGGTCTCTCTGCCTTTGATGAGGAATGTAGCCTGAGGCCGAACATAGAGAAGATAAGTGTTCTGTTCAGCATTTTATATATATAGATCAGTATCATTAGTAAAAAAAATTAACTGTATTTGACATATGCATCTTACTAGTTTTTCTAGGTCACACTCCCTTCACTCCCTATATACCTTTTGGAAATGATTTTCCCTTGCACTGGGGATTGTAGGGCAGAAAAATTTTTCACTAAGAATCCTTCTGTAGCTAAATGCAGAACAGTACTACCCTGAAGCCAAGTCCATGCCAAGTCTACTTCCTTTCATGCTGTAATTTCTCAAACTCCCTATTCTGAGTCAACTCACAATCAAAGTTGAGAGTCATTTAGAATATGGGGAAGGATCATAGTATTCTACAGAAGATTAAAAGTTGCCAGCCTTGAGGACTCAAATAATAGAATGGACTCAAAATTCAGTACTGCAAAATACAAGGGCATGCTCTTTGGAATTAAGAACAAAACAACAAAAAAAAAAAAATATGATCTCCTTAGTTGAAAATAACACGAAGAGAAAAAAGCAAGGAATATTAATCAGTCACAGGATGACAATTACGCCTGCCCTCTAGGCTGAGATGATAGGCTATGGGGAAAGCAGAAAGCAGCAGACGTGATTTACCTTGACTGCAGTGACACTGCTCTCATTAGCAAGCTGAAGAAGTTCTGGCTGGGTAAATGTACTGTTGTGTTGCCTGCAAAACGGCTTGACCACTGGGCTCAGAGTGTAGACATCAGTGGCTCTGTGTCCAGATGACAGCTGGGAATGAACAAAGAAGTCCTGGGTTTCAGTTGGCATTTATTTCACCCCACAGCTTCCCTACTGATCTGGGGACACTGATTACTTAGCAATTTTAATTAAATCTATATTCCACTAACACTAACCTGGGGGAAGTGCCAAAGTACTGAATGGTAGAGCCATCTTCCAGAGGCAATGTAATAAACTCAGCAAAAAGTGTGAGGTTTTGCTGCTGGGACAAGATCTACATGCACCAGGGCAAGCTGAGAACCAACTGGTACAATCAAGTTAGAAACAACCTGATCATAGGTACATCTAATTGAAGAGAGGTTATGAAGACAACAGATATGAGATCTCAGTATAAAATGACCACAATTTGCAACCTGAGATGCTCACGTCAGACATGAGCAAAAAGTTCTTTACAGGGAGGATAGCACAGCATTGGATCAGGTCACCCAGAGAAGCTATGGGCTCCCTGCTAGGAGATAACTCCAGAGGTCCCTTCCTGCTAACGCTTCTGAGGTCACATGTTGTAAAAGCAGGGATTCCAGAGCATCACATTTAGTTTCAAGAACCCACAAAGCGATGCTAAGCTGTAGGATTTAGGTCCCCTACACAAGCCTTCAGACACAGCTGTCACTCACACAGAGCCATCCCTCCAAACAGAGTCCAGGGAAAATTTATTCACCTGAGTAGTGCTCTTTCCAGAAACATTTCTTGGAAATTCACATCCACCCACCTAAGCTAATGCAAGCATGGGCCTGTTTGTATTGTGCAAGTTACAGTGGTGCCTAATATAAAAACACATAGGTAGAATGAACTGCATTTGATCAATCTTACTCAAGCAGCAATTAAACCTTTTTTCTATTAACTAGTATTACAGGGACATCATCTACAATTCCTACCTAACGTGACACTTTCCAGGGAGAGCCAATTATCCTGCCAGATAAATTTCAGCCTGGTATAAACTGACAAACTCAGTTCCAACGATTGGGAAGAAAGGCAGAAGAAAGAATAAAAAGGGGAGTGACAAAATATCAAATCAACAACCCACGGTGTTATGCAACTCTAAAACCTGGCTAAGTATTGTAGGTGTTTTGAAGTAAATTGTCTTATGATGGTATTGGTGAGTCATCTTTCAGGCCCAGATAGATAATCCAAGCTTTGATGCAATTTACAGTGTGCAAGACGCATGCTGTTCTGAACTTCTCTAAAGTTTTTTATTATGTGAAAATCGATGGTAGGTTTTGAACTGACCTGCAGTGGAGCAGCTGAACCTGAGGCCCTCCAAAGCAATGAAAGTGCCTTCTGTGGAGGTTCCTGAGGTGCTGGCATTTAAATCCTGAATTCATCTCATAACAAAACTTGGTGAATCATTCTGACATTGCAATAGGAAGAGGTGAATCAGGCTAGGTGCCAAAACCTGCAAGGGTGAGCAGTAGTAAACCAGCAGTAAAAGACATCTCAAAAAAGACTTTTGTTTAACTGACTAAATGCTACATGCAGATAAAATAATTACATGTTTGAATGACGTGCAAACAGACCACTGCCAAGTTCCCAGGCTTACCGCTACTTGACCACAAGAGGGCAATATTATTCTAAAGCAAACTTCTGGAGCCGGTGAAGGGAAAATGCAATTGACATTCACACAGGCAACTTTGGCTTTTGCTTTTTATTGTTTTCTTTGTTGCTTTTAAGTTTCGGGGAGACCGAAACAACAAAATATTTCCATCTTTCTTCTAAAATTAACACACCAGGGTGCTGGAAATCATCACAGTGGTGGGAGATTCTCACCTCAACGTTTGAGATGTATAGACACACAAACACAGAACTTGGTAGCAATATTTGCGATGGATAAAAAGACAGTCCAGAGGTGTCTGTACCACAGCACCTACCTGAAGAGCCAGGATGCCTTTGTTGGAGGTTCTTTACGTGTTGTCAGTGCTGTAAGACCACAGTGCCATAGCCCTTGTATCGGTGTGGTACCGTTTGAAGGCTGCTTGCAGAATTAAAAGCACTGAGATAGAAGAAAAAACGTAACAGTATGACTAATAACGGCATTTAAAAGCAGGAATTCTGTCAGCGAGGAATTCTGTAAACGAGGTGGATCTACAGCAAGGACAAGAACAAGGGCAGCATCGATAAACTCTGTGCCAACCTTCCAGCACCAACCCCTGCAGGACACACTCCAACCCCACAGCAGGCCGCAACCCGTTTCCTCACAGCCTTAGCGCTGCTTTTCCCACCAGCCCCGCGCTATGAGCTTCGCTTCAGGTTTTTTTTGGAGGGCTGGGGCTGCAGCATTAACAACCCCAGAGAAGGAAGAGAACGCTCAGCACGAGCCACCTAAGCACTGCAGCCGCCTCAGTCCCTCCCACCGCCGCCTTCAAAATGGCGGCCGGACCGCCCCGCGCCCTCTCCGCTCCCATGAGGCTTTGCGCACGCACCGCCCCAGCATGCCCCGCGCGCCGCTCTGCCCCGCCCATAGCGGCGCCCCAAGATGGCGGACACAATGAGGAGGAGCCGCCGCGCTGCCGCCTGAGCGGGCCCGGCCCCGCCGCTCCCCGCGTTGCCCTGCCCGCGCTTAGCCCGCTGCCTCTCCCCGTTCTCCGCTGAGCCTCGTTGAGCCGCCAGGCCCGTTTTTGCTTTTCCTCGCCTCGTCTTCCCGTGCCCCGGGCCCACCTTGCCTTTCCCGGCCCGCTCGGCGGCCCCGCCCGCCCGCCCTCAGCGCGGCCGCCCCTGAGCGCGGCTCGGCCCGGCGGCATGAAGCTGACGGACAACGTCCTGCGGAGCTTCCGCGTGGCCAAGGTGTTCCGCGAGAACTCGGACAAGATCAACTGCTTCGACTTCAGCCCCAATGGTGAGACCGTCATTTCCAGCAGCGACGACGATTCCATCGTGCTGTACGACTGCCAGGAGGGCAAGTGAGTGTCTGAGGCCCGGGGCTGCGGGCCGCGGGGTGGGAGCGGCGCGGGGCGGCGGGGCGTTGCACGTTGTTTGGCCCCGGTGGCTGCCCGAGGGGAGATCTCGCTGCAGCGAGACGCACACAGCTTAGGGATCGAATCCTAGCCTTGCTGGTTGGTACGAGCATGCAAACTGGCTTCTCTACCTCGCTAAAACACGGGTAATTGCTGTGAGTAGTGCTGTGCCAAGCAGCTGGATTCGGTTGTTGTGTAAATAAAAGGTGAACGAGGCATGCTGTCTGATTGTTGTAACTTATAGTAGCCTGGGGATACGTTCAATAAAACCCTGTTCCTGAGTGGGATTGTTGTGTGATTGAGATGTGTTGTGAGTGAGGGTGGTGTGCAGTGCTCTGTGTTTTTCTCTAGTTGGGTACTGGGAAAATGTGCACTGGCACAGCTGCACGGGCACCTGGGGGAATCAGCATCCATGGAGGTGTTATAGAACCGTGGGGATGTGGCACTGAGCAATGTGGGCAGGTGGGAGTGGGTGAATGGTGGGACTCGATGATCTCAGAGGTCTTTTCAAACCATAATGATTCTGTGTTTCTACTTTTATCTGTAAATCTTGCTTGGAATATATGTGATTTGCGTGTCTTTGTGAGCCAGCAGTGTGCCCAGGTGGCCAAGAAGGCCACTGGCATCCTGCTTGTATCAGAAATAGTATTGCTAGGAGGAGCAGGGAAGTAATTGTTCCCCTGTACTCAGCACTGGTGAGACCGCACCTCGAGTACTGTGTTCAGTTTTGGGCCCCTCGCTGCAAGAAGGACATTGAGGCCCTGGAGCATGTCCAGAGAAGGGCAGCTAAACTGGTGAGGGGTCTGGAGCACAAGTCTTATGAGGAGCAGATGAGGGAACTGGGATTGTTGAGTCTGCAGAAGAGAATGCTTGGGGAGACCTTATCACTCTATAACTACCTGTAGGAAGGTTGTAGTGAACTGGGGGTCAGCCTCTTCTCTTGTGTAACTAGTGATAGAACCAGAGGGAAAGGACTCAAGATGCTGCAGGGGAGATTCAGGCTGGATGTTAGGAAGTAATACTTTTGCAGAAGAGTGGTCAGGCACTGGAATGGGCTGCCCAGGGAGGTGCTGGAATCACCAACCCTGGGGGTGTTCAAGAAATGTTTAGGAGTTGTGTTGAAGGACAAGATTTAGTGAGAACTATTGGTGATAGGTGGAGGGTTGGGCTGGGTGATCTTGTAGGTCCTTTCCAACCTTGGTGATTCTGTGATTACTCAACGTGTATTTCATCAATCAAGATGTTTTATTTACTGATGCTACTTTATGCTAATAGACTAAAACTAAGACGTGTTGGTTTCCTGGCGAGCAGAATCATTTTATTTCATTGATCGTGCAGCACTCCTTCTGTTTTAAGAACAAAATCCCAGAAACCTCTGTAGCTGTTGGCTAACAGTGCTGTTGTTCAGAAGATTAAAAACACACAAATAAGACAGCTGGTAACTTTGATAGTTTATGTTTTGGCAAGTGAGCAAATTTCTACTTTGGGGCAAATGGGTGCTTCACGGTGATGTCATTAGTCCATTAAAATGGAACAGTTATGGTGTTTCACTGAAAGCTCTGAAAGAGTAATTGGTATGGCTTTGATACTGATTTGCATTATATACATACAGAAAGTGAAAGGAAAACATGTGTATCTATTGTAGGATGGAGTATGAAAATGACAGGGTAATAATGTAGGAGAGAAAAAAATTGTTCACTGGCCAATGTGTCAGTGAGTGTAGCCTGGCACTCCTAGCCCTGTTGTTTTTTCAAGCAGACTAAGGCATCATACTTTGGTGTATTTGAAAGACAGCATCCTGCATATTCTCTTAATTTTGTAGATCACTTATTTTTTAGGCTTCTGTTTAGTTAGCTGATATTTCAAGTGAGAATTGTTGTTCTTCCCAATCTGACACTGCAAACTTCTGCATGAAGTGAATTTGTGTTCATTTTTATAAGAGTAGGTAACGCTACATGGATGGTGTCTGCTCTGGTTTGCATTCTTGATCCTGGTTATATACAGCAGCAGAGGGGGTGGGTGATGTTCATGCAGGCTTTATTGATTGCTCTTACCCTTTCAATCTTGTAAAGAATCGTTTGATGGGTTGGGAATCATTTGGTCCTTCCATCACCATTTCTGGCTGTTACTGATGTGTGCTTTACAGTGAGGTTTGCTTTAACTATGGTAAGTGTAGAACCCTGATGACTTTCTGCTGCAACCCTACGGTTTCATCAGGGTAACCCACGTTTCAGGATGTGTTTATCTGGTGTTTAGAACATTTAAATAAAAGTGACAATTCCCCTCCACCCCGCTAGGAGTTCTTATGCAGTTCTGTTGGCTGCATAAGAAATGCATCTGTGTTTAGTTATACTGTAGGCACGCACTCACCTTGTTTGCTTTCCTTTGCCACTTCAAATAAGCCACGTCAATATAAGAACTGTGTAACCAAAGCCATGGAAGTGAACCTCAAGCTGTATGTATCAGAGCAGTTTGGCAGTCTTTGGGGCTTCAGCTTGAGGCTCGTGGCTGTGGGTCTGCAATCCTGGTGTGATACAAAGATGGCTTAGCAGGGGTCCTGCTTGGATCTTAGTATGTAGCAGTTGTGTTTTATTTATACAAATCAAGAGGTGATGGAGCTGGATTCTTGCTTAGCCATGGTGTTCACCAAATGTTTGGTGACTCCGGTTCTTGGTGATGTTTTTACCAGCAGGAACGGTAGTGATACCAGCCTTGCCTGTTCTGTTTTTTTGTTATAGCACACTAGGCTGTTATTCTAGAGCACTTTGCTTTGGCAATATTGCTTGATTTGCAGTTAGGCTGGCTAGATTGGCAATCTAATGCATGAAGGGACTGGCTGCTGCTCGTATCAGCTTACATATTCACCTTCCTTAGAACACATCTACACATAGTCATAGCATTATTCACATTCAGAGCATGCGTGGGTATGTGTAGGTATTCTTTACTACAGCATGGAAGGTCCCTTCTCACCCAAGCTGTTTGTAGGTGCTCAGCAGCATAGCTGAGGTGGCTATAAATAATAAGGGAACATATCAGGCATAAGATTAGAGTTTAGTTATCCAGATTTGAATTCTGTACTTTAAAGTGTGTTATGTGTACCTTTTTCATTTTGTAGCATCTTTGCATCTGTGAAGTTTTTGAAATTGATGTAAAAATCAATTGGAAGGAACTGAGGAAGAATCTGTTGGGATTTGGTGCAAGGGATAGAAGCAGGGGAGGGCTTTGCATGATTTGTGCTGTATTGACTTTCAGTTAATGGAAGCTTCTCTCCAGCAAGTTCATTGGAAATCTTATGGCTTCTGCTGTTTGAGCGTTGATCTTTAAGATTAGTGCCTATTTTTGTTCTGATAGGAAACATCTCCAGCTCCCGATCTTGTTTGGGTGTGTTGCTTTGGGGCTAAAGAACACAAGGAAGCAGTTGAGCGTTTTAGAAATACCTTGTCTGAGGGTGTAGTCTGGTGAACTGCTCTTTGGCAGCAGTATTGGTTTATACTGCTCTTGTTGTTTTGTTTTCATTTGCATGCTGTTACCTTTAGTTTGCAATAGTAAGGTATTTTATGGGAGTGGCTTAGAAGTAACTCACTGAAGAGATTGCTTTATTTCTTATGTTGATGTCAGAACCCATCCTGGTCCATTGTCCAGCTCAAACCACTGTGCTGCCTCAGCTGGGGAAGAAAGAGGAAGGAAGGTGCTGGAGACCTTGCACGCTTTTCAGTCCTGCTACTGCAGGGAGATGCACTTAAACTGTTCTACACTTCCTTTGCAATTCAAGTTTCTGCTACTGCAGTATATTCTTTGCTTACCAGACCTTTAACAACCAGTTCTGTGTGTTTGCTCTCTTGAATGTCTTCAATTTTGTCACACAATGTTATACTTGAGTTCCATGCTTTAGCTGATATAGGATTTGAGTATAATTCAATTCTCCAGCAGTTTGAGAGTCCCTGTGTTACCACTGCTTTCTTATAGCACTGATATGCATTTGTCTTAATACCAGGAAGTCATTTTGAATGAGATCTCTGAGATAGCATAGGACAAAAAGACAATCAGAATCTAAAACATGTGGCAAATGAAATTCTGGCAAGGTACTAAATGAGGCAGTGCTGCTTGACATTAAGGGCTTCTTATTCTAGCTGCCCCAGCTCTTCATTTGTATACGGGGGAAAAAGGATGTTGGGAGGAGGCTCATAAGTGAATTTTGTTGTCATTGCAGGGAGCTCAAGCTTAGCAATGGTCTAGGAGATGGTACTAAGGTACTTGTTTTTATGCAATGAAAGAAAAGCATTTCTTTTCATTTTCAAACATCTGGCTGCTTGAAGCAATCTTGTAATATGGTAATGAAAACAGGCACTGCTAATGGGCTCAGTTTCTGTTCGAGCTTTGTGTGAGGGCAATTATTTCTGCTTCCTTCCAACAGACCGAAGAGAACGCTGTACAGTAAGAAGTATGGAGTGGACCTCATCAGATACACACATGCAGCCAACACAGTCGTGTACAGCTCCAACAAGATAGATGGTAAGTGATCTGCCATAGTTCAGCATTTTTAATCCATGTACGTCTGAAGTGATGTGCCTGGGTAAATAGCAGGGCTGGCAGAAATTTGCAGCAGCTTTTAGGTGGTGAGTATGCTGCCACGGGGGATTTGATGTTCAACTTAGTGAAATTCTCTCAAGCGTGCTGTTGTGAGTTGTGTAGGTACTGTTAGTGAGATGAACTTTCACTTCTTGACCCTGGGGAGTTCAAGAAAAAAATAAAAATTTGCAGTTCATTTTGTTGGTTGATACCACTATAGTCAGCTTCTGTGCCTTATGTTCTTCTTGTGAAATGAGGAAGGAAGAGAATGCAGCAGAGGGTGTGCTGAATGCCTGATACACACTAGCAAGTCAGCTGCAAAGAAAGGGAGTGTTCTTCTGCAGCAGAGATGAGAGAGCTCAGGTAACTTGGCAAACCACCAGCCACACCTGGAGGAGGTCACAGAGCTCTTTTGAGATAAGCTGTTTCTGTGCATTAGTCTCGCTGCTTTTTTCCTTGTAATAGGCATATGTAGAAAATTGGTTTCCATGCTGTTTTTCCCACAGTCGCTATCTGCAATAGCCACATTCTTCAAATCAATGACATTGAAGGGCTTTTTAGACCTTCATCTATCAATGAAAGGATTTGAATTTAATTTAGAAGTCCAATTTAGGAGTTGCATAAATAGAAGGCTAATCCTTCCATAGGGCACTACTTTTCAAGGCTAGAAAAACTGGAGTCCATTGGTTCTGAGCAGTTTGTGTTAGTTTTATTGATAGTGTCTGACAGGAGTTCTTCACTGACTGTGTCTCTTAGCACTGCTTAAGTTGATCCTGACATTGCGTTTATAAACTCATTGATTTCTGAGTTAGTTTTGCTTTTTCCATTGCAGATGTAGAGCTTAAAGGTGGAGATGCCGGTGTTTGGCATGTGCTGGGTTGTCAATGGAATTAAGTGAATATGAATCTGGAGCAGGTGGAAGTTAAGAGTTCGGAAGTCAAGTTAGACTAGAGCAAGCTAGGCCTGAATGTGTGGAAATAAGTTTGTAATGGAATAGGTTTTGGTGATGTAAAATAATTATGAGTGGGACTGGAAGCACTTGCCCCTTCAGTCTGTTTCACGGCCAGCATACTTGTTTTATTTATAGAATTACTTTGTTCTGTAGAAGCTCTGGCTTGGCTGTTATTTCAGTTTATACTTAATTTAACATTTTTAATGCTGTTTTCAGTTGAGAGTTCTTGTTTACAAACACTGGTAGGTCTTTAAGGAGCGAGAATTCAACAAGTGCTGATTCTGAAGGAAAGCATTATGATAAACACGTAATTAGAATGAAAGAAAAAAGTAGAATGTGAAAGTATTTGTGAGATTTACACTAACAGTGCTGTAGGGCTCCACATACTCAGTAGCAGCTAATGCGTGTGCACTTGGGTAAGGTGTGTGGTAACCTTTGTGCAACAACCCAGGAATGTATTGGACTGCTAACCCTCACTCCCCAGCATTGGACTTGCACCAATCTGTTTATTTCTGATGATCTCCTCAAGACCTTGGAATGCAGTTCCTCTTGCCTGATTCCAGGCTGAGGTAGTAGTTTGTACAGTTTGAGGGTCTATGATACCACCCGGTACAGGAGATAACTGTACAGGCCACTGCCTTGCCTGGGACAGAGCACTGCCAACAAGAAGGATCACAGGATTATTTGCAAGGAAGGATGAATTCTGCAAGAACACTTGGGATATCAGGTAATGACCATTCTCACAGGAAAAACCAGAGGTGTGCCTTATCAGCATGTTTGAAGTGTCAGTCCCAGTTGGTGTGGGATGTGATGCTGGTTTTAGGGATTTTCATTTTAGACAGTCACCTGAGGTCACTTATAGCTGTTCAGAACATTGTGTTGCCAGCATTTTGTTTCCTGCTTGATCAAGTCAGCCTTAATTTTACTGCCAAATACCAGAGGGTGGTTCAGAACTCTGATCTCAGACAGAAATGGTAACTGATTTGTTTTTCCCATAGATCCCGAGTTTTGCAGAATAATCATTTCAAAAAGCCCCAAATGCTGTAGCTCTTGAGTGTTAAAATACTCCCTGTGTATTGCATCCCTTTGACTCTTGTTCTTCTGAGTTTTCCTTTGGTTTCTTGGAGCTTCAGCAGTCCTCATTATTACAGCAGTATGGAGTCGCACAGCACTGTATGGAGCAGATGCATTAGGTCAATCTTTTCCAATTAGTAGGAGCTCAAACTAGTTGCCTTCAGCTAATGTAAAAAGTTATTTGGATGGTGCTGTCTTGTTAGTCCTTCTGTTTGAAAGCTGCTTTTAGATGTCAGATGTTTGACTTCTGCTTTTTGTGTTTCTTTGTTCAAATGTGTCTGCATACAAAGGTTAAAAAAATTACTTTTGTGTTCTAATAAATCAGCAAATTGCTTCCTCTTACGAAGATTTATTTTAATCTTGGGTGAAAGTCTCAACAGTGCCTTCCAAAATTCTGGGTACTTCTGGCCTTTACTCAATAAAATTATTAATTGATAAATGCTTTAGTGTTGCTCTCAATCTTTTTAATGGTCTTGGCCTGGCCTTGAAGTTCATGTTTTATCTCCTCTCTGGATGAATTCACGCATCTCCTGAGCTTACTGTTCAGGTGGAGACTTACTTGATGGATGGGTATGTAGGTAAGACAGCAATATTCCTACTGCAAAGCAAAAATAAAAGCAGTAGCTTCAATTTCAGAAAGTTCTAGTTTTGTGAGAGTGCTGGAGTAAAACCTTCTGCTGCTTTAATTTGAGCAACTTTGACATTAATGTGTATAAACTGCATGACAATTTTCCCTTTAAAAGATATAATATGACTTCAGAGTGCACAAAGTATCCTTTCTGTTGCTTGACTTCCCCTTCTGCAATGGAAATCAAGTTGCTTTATGTCTGTTTTTAACTTGATTCAGTTTCAGGTCTGACTTGAACTCAGCTGACCAGGCTTACTCACTGTTGCTGTGGGGAACAAGTTAACTGTGTGGCAGCTGTTAGATAATGTTGAGTTCATGGTGTAATAAAGCTGATTGTTTGTTTATGGTTTCAGATACGATCCGATACCTCTCACTGCATGACAACAAATACATTCGCTATTTTCCTGGGCACACCAAAAGGTAAGATGTGGATTGGTGCATTTCAAGAGAAACTGTAATGGTGCTTGTGCTGAACTTGAGTTGTGTTACACTCCATTCAGTCTTTTTTTTTTTTTTGCTTTGTAGAACTGTTAAATAGTGGGCTTGTACACAACTGGTGAGGTAGGAGTTGCTTCATCGACTCCTTTTGTCTGTCTTTGATGCATATTGTCTCCTGTGTTGCAGAGTGGTAGCCCTTTCAATGTCTCCAGTGGATGATACTTTTATTTCTGGATCCCTTGATAAAACTATTCGACTCTGGGATCTTCGCTCTCCGAATTGTCAGGTAAGATATCAAATTAATGTGTATATTTGTGTGTTTTATTTTCTGTTGGAAAGATGCAAAATGGATGTGTGTTAAAAGAGAAATACTGTTGTTCGTTTAGCATTAACACTTCTTGGAGTTCTGAAGGAGTCTTGATCAAGAGGTCTCAAAAAGATTCTTAATTATTTCAATTAAGCATGTCACACTGTGTAACACCACTTGCTTCCACTTATGTCTCTGTACCAGGGAAGCACTGTAATGAGCAAGGCATAACACCACAACTGATAAAACATCAGGCTGCTACCCCATGCAGAAAGTGTTCTCTTAGCCAGCATCTTTCCACAGAAGGGTGCTGGGAGATGGGTTTTGAGTGTTCATTGTGCATTTGTGTTTAAATCTGATGCCCTAATGCAGTGAAATTGGATGAAGAAATGGATGATGTAAAGTAACACGGTAACCATATGGTCTATTTACTCCTTCCATTGCCTTTGTTGTTCATCAGACCTGGTTGTGAGCAGATGCAGCTTTCTAAAAGGAAAGAAAAACCCTATCATTTTTATTTACTTATTTTGAAAGAGTGGTTTTCTGTGTTTGGGGTTGTTTTTTTTTGTTTTGCTTTTAGTGGAAACAAACTTACACAGAGTGGAAAAAAAAAGTACCCAAACTGACAACAAGACTGGGAGTAAATCTCCACCTTTCAGTGGTGATGAGTTGTTCCATCCCTGTAGGTAACATGGCAGTGTGCTCTCATCTCAATGAGGCTGCATATAAGAGGGCTGCTTTCTGATTTCAGGTGATATAACTGTAAATGAAAAAGGAAATGAAAGGTTACATTTTTCACTAAATAGAGCTATCTGCCCTAGAAGTAAGCTTTTTTTTTTCCTAACTAGAAACATTTTTGCTTTTCTCTGGGACTTTGTATTTTATGCCAGTGTATGAATTTGCCATGGGATGAATTTCAGTCTTGGAGTTGCAGTGAATACTAAAGTTGTAATTTCAGTGACAGTGCTGTGACACCAAAGTTTGAAGTTGTAAGAATAACTATACCAGGAGCTGTGAGTGGAAGCTGCAGGCAGCAAATGCTAAGAAACAGGTTGAAGAGCTGTTGCTTGTAATTTTTGGTTTGCCCGTGAGATGGCAGCTGTAGCTGTTGAAACATTATCATGAAACCAAAGATGTCCTGATTGTGGGCATTCTGTGTATTGCTAACTTACTGCTTAGTCTTCAGTGAAAAGGTGACCTATACTAGAAAAAAAAATAGTAAAGGCTACTGAGGGACAGTATTATCCTGAATGTAGAAGATTAACTGTATTGCTGATTTAATCAAAGATGTGTTCTTATTGATGAACAGTTACATAAAAACATTTGGCTAATTGCATAGACTTGCCAGTCTATGAAATACAGAAATCATATATCTTGTTGACTTTCATCAGATTCTCTTGAGACTTTTCTAGTGTGAGTTGAGGAAAAATTCACATTAAGCCATAAAAATGCTCTGATGACATCTGGAAGGTTTGAGGTTTCGTTAAGTTGAGATGGAAAGTTCTGCAGTGCAGTTTACCAGAGCTTCAAAAATAGCTTTTCTCCCCCTCTTGCCATAATTGGTAGCACACTGCTGTCAATTTCAGCAGCACTTTTTTGTGCAACTGCCTCTTGTGACTGCTAATACAGTTACAACATCCTCTCTCCTCTCCTTACTTTCTGAGTAAATGACAGCTGTAATGAGATCTCAGTTTGTTCCAGTGTAAACTTTGTCATTGCATCAAACTGGAAGCTCTGTGCTATGGTCCGAAGTAGTCGACTTGCTTTTGAGAGGCTGACTTAGAAATGTAATAAAATGTCAGTATGCATAAAAGAAATTCAGCCTGTATGCTTCTGACCTGCTTACAGTGGGCTCTGGGGGTGGTGGAGGAAATATGAGCATCACTTCATCAAAATAATGTGGACTTCCTCTGTTTTTAGGGCTTAATGCATCTCCAGGGGAAACCAGTGTGCTCTTTTGACCCAGAAGGGTTGATTTTTGCTGCTGGAGTCAATTCTGAAATGGTGAAGCTTTATGATCTCCGCTCTTTTGACAAGGTGAGCTACCCTTATGTTGTTGCTTACACTTTTTAGCTTGCAAGAAGTAACACAAACTCAGTGCTCAGAGGCTGGGTTTGTTTGCTCCAGCTTGCTCTCTGGGGTGCCTCTGCTTGGCACATGTGGGGGTTTTGCTTGGTGTGTGTCTGATGGACAGTATGTGCTGTCAACAGTTCCTGAAATCCATTCTCAAACACTTGTGGGAGTTGATTTCCACTAACTCTTTAACCTGTTCCAGTTTCATGTTCAGGGTTTCTGTTGTTTTCCTTGCTGCTTAATCTGGAAGATCACTGGGAAAGGTGGAGCCAAGTTCTCCAGAGGATGGAAATTCCAAAGAAAATCATGAAATTTAGATGCCAGCAATGCTGCCTCAGGCTCTCTCCAACTTCAATTAGCTTTCTTTGAAAATTCAAGCTCCAGCATTCCCTTAAATTTATTTCTACTGTTAGACGTAGTAGAGTAAGGGAAATCAGATACTGAAACCCCCTACTTGTGGCTCTTTCAGCTTTGGAAACTGTGGATTCATATTTCATTGAAATTTAAATATGCAACAGCATGTTTTAAGTGTGACATTTTCCCTTGTCTGATATTTCAGGCCTAAAGATTTTCTCTTATAAATCTTCAGCTTTTTCTTAGCAAAGGTTGAAAGCAGAGTCTTGTGAGCAGCAATGCATCATACTTTTTTCCTTTGAAGGGGCCATTTGCTACATTTAAGATGCAGTATGACCGCACATGTGAGTGGACGGGCCTGAAGTTCAGTAACGATGGCAAACTCATCCTTATATCAACTAATGGAGGATTCATTCGACTGATTGATGCTTTTAAAGGAGCTGTCCTGCATACATTTGGGGTAAGCACGGTGCCTGTGTTACCTGCTTGGAACTTGACATTAAAGGCATAGAATGGCTTGGGTTGGAAGGGACCTGAAAGATAATGCTGGCTTGGGATATCACAAAAACCAATATCCTTCTTGCCCCTCTGCACACAGAGTTCTGTGGTGTCATAGAGGGGGCTCTGCCCTTTGGTTGTGAGATTACTGAGTGCACTACTACATCTTTTGTTCTGTGCCATAGGGATATAACAATAGCAAGGCTGTCACACTGGAGGCGTCGTTCACACCAGACTCTCAGTTCATCATGATAGGTAAGATACTCTTCTCAGAAGAAATTTCAGTGCTGTATGTTTTTTAGGACTTCAATTACATCAGTGTTGGGAAGCAGAAATTAAGTAATACAGTGCATTGGTTAGCTTTCTTTACATAGACAGGAATTTTCTGTTTGGTAATTCACTCAGCATCTTTGAGAACAAATCTGAAGTGAGCCTGCAAGTGAGCGACATAATTGCAAAAAGCTTTGGCTGAGAATTTTCTTCTTGCAGAGAAGAGATTGTTCTTGCTTTCTTCATCCTTCTCTTTGGAAAGCACTTTATTGAGCAAATTTATGCTCCTACTGTGGCCTTCTAAACGAAAGTTTTAGTGAAAAAAGTTCCAAACTGCGTATTTCTGTTCAGTTTTTAAATATGATGAAGTTATAACTTGTGCTCCTTAATTTTTTTCTTCCTGGAAGGCTATGTGTAAATACTGGAACAGAAGAAATCCTTGCATTTTTTTTATTGGGAATCCAGTTTAAAATGAGACTAAACCAGAGTTGAGTTATAAAAAATGTTCAGCCTCCAGCTTCAGAGTTCACCTTGCAAATAATGATGCTTGCAGAATGCATTTTAAATGCAATGTGGGGAGTCGACATTTCTAGTGAAGCTTCTGGTATTTGGCATAGGTCACTGAGACCTTCACTGGAAGGTTAGTTTGCACACATAACTGACATGCTTATCTAGTTCTGTGCCTGAAATGAGCACTTCTGTGGACAGTGGTTCCTGCACTCAGCTTTTGGCCTCGTATATGTGAGTGCAAGCTGGCAGTGGTCTTTGCTCTCGCTTGGTCACTTCAGCTCTCCTCTTCAGATTAGTGGTGGTGGTTGTTAATCTCTTTGGCAGAACAGTGTTGCACTGCGTTGGGTCTCCATGGTGCAAAGACACAAACCATCTGTTTGGATGCAAATGTGTGAACCATAGCCATGTTTTGTAAATGCTCTAGTGATATTTTCGAAAACTTAAAAATTAAGCTGAGAAAAGGAGGTGTGCTTGTTCCTTCAGTTCACAGACAGATTGAACTTGACTTTTCCTGTTGGCCTCCTCAGTGTATGTTGTGTATTTTGTTTTCCACTCCTGCCTGCAGGATCAGAGGATGGGAAGATTCACGTTTGGAACGGGGAAAGTGGGATGAAAGTGGCAGTACTGGATGGGAAACACACAGGTCCTATAACATGTCTGCAGTTCAACCCCAAATTCATGACTTTCGCTAGCGCATGTTCAAATATGGTAAGAAAATTACTGAACTTCCTCCTAGTTCTATGATGCACTTACCCTTTTGGAAAGGAATCTGAGAAGGTTCTGTGTGCCAATGGGCATTTCCTTGGGCTTTCTGAGAGGTAGGCCTCTCTCAAACTTTTATTGCACCTCACCTGTCAGGTAGGTACATGAGGCAGCACACCAAGTACTGGCAGGAAGATGTTTGAACGCATGCGTGAAGGCAGAGCAGTGAATGAATGCAGAAGCGTGAATTTCTTTGGTTGCTGCACACAGCTGCTATTTTCATTCTGCTTAAGGCTGGCTTGCTCTGGAGAACGTGCAGTGCAAACCACAGCAGGTTAAGAAAGGTTTTAAACCCCTGGGAGAGTGTTACTGCCTCTCCCCTCATCTCTGCCTGTCTGCTTATGGAAGGGAGGCACGAGCAGCTCCTGACTTGTGCTGTAGGATATTTGCATTCTGCTCAGTAACAAATGTTCTCTCTTTCCTCTCTTGTAGGCCTTCTGGTTGCCGACTATTGATGACTAATTCCTACACTGCAGCTACTGTCAGATGATTTTCCACACTGCTAGCAGCAGTATATTCTTGCAAGGATAGCATTGGAATTGCCTACATCTTCTAGACTCTGATCCCATTCCTGTATATGTTTCCATATGTCTTACCTTATTGGCTGCATTCCTCTCCAAGGACTCTTTCACTTGACCTCCTAGCATGTTCAGAAGTGACATACAACACTTCCTTACCTTGCAGACCATGCCCAGCAGGCTTCAGCTGAAGTTGAAACTGGCACAGTATTATGAAAGTGGGGAGTCTGCTTTATTTACAGAATGCTTGTGGCAGTTTTTAAGCTGTAATTTTGTATTCTCCTTCTTTAAGTGCATAATACAATTGATGTTCCAAGGTGGAACATGCAGTTCCTTCCCACAAGTGCATGTTTTTCACATCTGGGATCTCTGTTTCACTGGAGTCCACGGATGGAAATTACTTCTGTGCCAAATGTGAACACTGAGAGATTTCAACTCAAAGAACAGATGCTGGAGTCTCTTGCACACATTGCTGAAAGAGTGGGTGACTGTACATTTACATCATGCATCCTATCATCCTTTTTTGGCAATTTAGTGTGCAACAAACCATACACATCTTTGACACTGCCAGAGCTTTAAGAAGCCTCCCTGCTGTTTGCTCTGCCAGCATCCCAAAGGGTGCGCACAGTGCTGAAGTCTGGTCTGTGTCCCAAGCAATAAAGGAGTCTGTCAGCAGGAAGATGGGGAAACCAAACTGGGACTGAAAGCACAGTATGCCTCTGTATCTTCCTAATGTATCATCTTGGCTGATTTTTGTAAATATTTTTGGGGGGCAGTGGGAATGGGCCATATTTTTTTACTTTTAGATATTAAAGAATGTGATGTGGGCCAGTGTTGTGGGATGTCAAAGCTGTTCACTTTCACCAATGCAGTTTTCCCCTCCTGGTTTGTAAATAAGCTCTGTTAAGTGCTTTGCAGACTGGGGTTAGACTGTATCGCTTGGTTGATGCAACAACATGCACAGTTGGTTTGTTATTTCATACACTGTGCACTTGTTACTGGGTGTACAGGTTTTCAGCAGTGGCAACCCAAAAAGAGCGATGCTTCGTTTGCCAGATGGAATTGCATTGAAAGTAAAGCTTAACATGCTTTTGCTGGCTTTGTTCTGCTGTGGCCCTGTTCCAAGGACCACCCCCACAGAGATGGGAGGGACATGCTCTCCTACTCCAGCGGGGCTTGCTGGCAAATTCTAGTCTTCAAGTCTGGTTCCAGGTTCTTTCTCCTGTGATGTTGATTGATTAGATACATCCAGTGGTCAGCCACGATGGGCTCAGAGTAAATGTGGCATTTATTGTATTCTTACCTTTCTAAATGTGCTTGGTGTTATATGCTGGGCCATGGCCTTGAAAGTCTATTCTTCCCTTCTGAATGTAAAATGCTGGTGAGCATGGAGCAAAGGGAGCAGCAGACCAATGCTGCTGATTTCACCAAACCTTTCTGCTGTTAGAGCTGCAGTTGAGAGATTCATACTACTACACCAGCATCCCTCTTCCCAGTGAGTACTGTCTCACCAGCACCTATAAACACCAAGGACAAAGGGAGGTGGATATCTCAGACCTTATGCTCCGACTGGGTTTTCATCGCCGTCTCTTAAGCTCAGTGTTGTTGCATTTCAGGCTGCTCGGTGCTATTTTACCTTCCTCAGTGTTTCTGTAAGCAGCCATCTTTTGCAGTGGTTTGTAACATACAGCCCCTTGGGGGTCTTTAGCACATTTGAACAGTCTGCTTTTACATTCGGTAGCAAATGGTTTTAAACTCTGTTGCCTTAGAGAATGGATACCCACCCAGATGTTTTTTTCCTGTTATTTTTTTATAGGGAGAGGCATTTGGAAGTCTTTTATTCTAAAAATGTTCTTTGTTGACGTGGCTTGAGTGCTTGTTTAAAAACAGTTATTCAGTTCTCTTCTGCTTGCAGTGTTGTAGAACTTTGTGCATTGCAGCATGAAATGCTTTTTTTTAAAAAAGAAAAAGAGGACCAAAGTACCAGTCTAAAAGGATGCATCCATTAAGGGTATCAGTGGAATTCTGGGGTGAGATGAATTCACCAGTTTATGCCCAACACAGCACTAAGGCTCATTTCAGACTGGAATGCTTTCCCAGGTCCAACCACTACCTACACAGTGGCAAAGCCATCTTTATGGGTTGGTGTAGCAGTGGATGTTTTCCATTTGCCTTTAAACGAAGGAAATGCGCTCGGTAGCGTTAAGAAACTTTGGTATCCTGTGTTCCTGGGAGATCAGGAGAAGAAAGGTCTTAGCTTCCAGCTTCTACATGTTTCTCTAAAAGTTAGAAGACTACAGTTCTTGTGTTCTTTAGCTGAGTGCCCCAATGAGAAACATACCTCATTAAAAAACAGCACTCAGATCTAACAGTGTCCAAACTTACGTAAAGCCAAGTAGGAAACAGCATTCTGCACCCCACCACCCACACTGGAGATCTTTTAGGTCAACCCTTTGTTCTTTGGGATGAAATAAAGCTGAAGGGAAAGCAAGACTCGATGGCCTGCTCCTAAATAACACTGTTGGCTGAGCTCATCTGCTTGGACTGGAAGACTTGGTGTAGACTTTTTGAGGTTCCCACGTGCTGGGTTAATGTCCCAGCTTCTGGTCTGGGAAAATGGAAGCACTTAAGTGAACAAACATAGAAGCAGCAGTGTATCTTCCTCCGGTGTTGTTTCTGCCTGTATTTGCACTTTAAGAGTCTCCACCTTGTTTTTGGGTCCAGGCTAGGATCCTGTTGAGAAAAAGCTGGTCTCTGGTTATGAGCTGGTTTGGTGAATTTAACTCCTAGGTGGTATCTGCAGATGGGTGTAAATACATGAATGTGGAGAACTCAATATTGTGGCTGTCAACAATAAATATTTTGTAGACAGATTGCCGAGTGCTGTAAACTCTACGTTTGTCTGGTGTGATACAACTTGCTGGTTTCCTAGAGGGGAATGGGAAAATGTATTTTGGTTTTGGGGATAGGGAAGCAGTCCTGTTAGGCAGAATGCCCTAGGAAGAGGAATGTTCATAGGCAACTGATCCAGATACAAGCAGTGCTCTTTCTCAGCAGGCCAACAGGGAACCAGCTTGTTGAGCTGGTGTAACAGGAGACTTGTATCATTATAGTCTAGCTGCCATAGGGGATGGGGGCTGACAACATGGGTATGTGTGTTTTTTCAGGTTAAAGTCGAGGATGAGGGAGAAGTGAAGCTGGAGAGGGGTATTTTTGCTATGCTGCTTGCTTAAAGCACGAGCAGATATCTGAGAAAGCTGCCTCCTTTCTGGCTCCAGCCTTGCACTGAAGAAATAACCTGGCATGTAGTTCTCAGGCGATTGCTGCTTGGGGAATGCTGCTAGCAACAAACACCAGCATTTGGGCAACAGTAAATAAATTCTGAAGCAATAACTTTCCTGTGATTTGCTGAGGCCATCTGTTTTTTAATCTCAGGTCTGTATAAAGCCTGATGGGAACGAAACTGGAAGGTACATGAAAATTATTTTTTATTAGGGCTCTCATCCTTACAAAACTCAAGCAGTGAACAAAAGACAATGGGGTTTGTCCGCTTCACTGAGTAATGTGGCAAACTTGTGTGAGGAATAATGAACATAAAAGGAAGGAAATGGGAAGCTTGTCCAGACCTGAATTTACCTGCAGTTCAAAACCGTGGAGATCTGCTTTAAAGGCTCAGATCATCTTGGCACATCTTCTATTGCAATGAGTGTACTGCTTGTGCATCAGCACCCCAGCTAAATGGGAACAACCGGTTCTATTCTACTTGGAGCTCTTTAGGAAATCAGCTGACGTATTTCCTTACATATTTCAGCTCTCATCAGCACTACTACTACAAAACCAGCCTCGCTGCCAGTGGTAGGAGTGAGCCCCAAAGTGTTAGTGAGCGTTCTGATCTAAAATTTGTTAGAGATCTGTACGTTAAGTACATCACATGTAGCAGAAATGCTCTTAAGGTATCCACCTCTCCAGTAGAGACCCCATCTGATAACCTCTATTTTGAGGTGTTGCTGCCTACAACTGGAACGTTCTCTGCTGGAAGAAGTGTGGGCCACCAATGTTGGTAATTGCAGCAGTTCCCAGTTTTTCAGCTGATGGAGCAAATGGGTATGAGGGACACCTGTAGCTTATATGTTCAGTTTGAGTCTGATTAAAAAGTTTGAGTGATTAAAATCCAGTTCTCAAGATTAGGTGGACCTCACTTGATCTTCATTCTTTAATATTAAAAAGGAAGAAGGGTTGCTAGAGATGTGGATTTGAGGTTCGCTGTCCTTAAATCTTAATCAACAGTGGTCTTTGGCTCCTGTGGCTGTTTCTGCAGTTTCCCATTGGCACAGCAAAGTAAGTGCAGTAAGAGGAATGATTTGTTGCCCACTGTTGTCTTGCACGTTGTTGATCCTCTTGCGTAAGTGCTGGCTCTGCATTCTCAGGTTCCACATCAGGTGGTGTTGCTGGAGGAGGGTGCATGACTGGCAGAAAGCCCTCAGTCCTGTGCTGATGCCCAAAAGCACCGTAGTAGGGGGGTACTGAGATGCTGCCTGTCATGCTAACAGTCCTCAACCCTGTTGTGTAGTGGGATGACAAACACGGAGATGTCATCGTAGGATGCCTCCTGGCTATCATCCAGCATCCACTGGTGGCCTCTCTTCTTCCCCCTTGCTCTGCACACCAAGCTCTTGGCCAATTCTGAAAATCTGGAAGTGGGAAAAAATGAGAGTTTTGGTTTAACTCAGGGCTGCCCCCCGAGAACAACACTGGGCTCTACAGTGCCAGAATACATTTCTGAAGACATTAGCATTATCACTGCTTCTTTAGGATGCAGAAATACTAGAGTCAGTCCTTCCAGAGTTCCCAGAAAGAGTGCCTGGCCATGCCAGAGCTGACCTGGAAGCCAACTGACTTCAGTGTGTGTTTGGTCCAGACAGGAAAGGGAAGCAAGGCGAGGCTGACATTACCTGTGGGGATTGGTCCTGTTTTCTGCAAGGAAGCTCCTGGCCATGTGGGCCACATCTTCGTTGCACAAAACATCCCAAAGGCCATCAGTTGCCATGATGAGGACATCATCTTCCTTAATGTCACGCAGAGCAAAGTCAAATACATTCACCTGGAAAACACAGGATTGAATCAGGGGGTTTTCCACATGTTTACCAAGGGCTGTCATGTTTCCTGTATTGCACCTGGCTTTGGGTTGCATTAAGTAACCCTGTGATTCTTTGCTTCCCCATGTGAGGGTAATCACAGACTGCAAACTTCTCCAAGTAGGTGGCAACCAGTGGTGAGTGCACCCAGTTGTGGTCAGAATGCCAGCAGAAATTCTACTTGCTGCAGTGCATAGGAGGGGGCAGGGGGCTGACTACCAGATATGGGGACTTTGAACCTTTATGTCCCCTTGCTGCTACCTGGGCAGCACGCAGAGAGAATGGGATGGAAAAAGGGCACGGCTGAGACCTGCTTAGTCACTACAAAATGGGAGCAGCTGAATTCCACCACCCCCCTGCAGTTCCACATGTTCTGACTAACCTTTGGAATGCAGGAGAGGAAAGGTTTGACTTCAATGTTGGTGTCGATCACTTTGAGCTGATGATCCCCTAAACCTCGAGAGACAGACAGAGTCCCCAGCAAACGAGCCTGGCCCCAAACAAAACAAATGTAAGAACATGATTCCCTTAAAGGCAGCTGCATGGTTTGCCCTTTAGGAGCATCATCCACACATCACCCAGAGCCACCCCGAGAGGCATGAGAGATGGAGAGGTGATTACAAGTGATGGCCTGATGGGAACATGGACAACCAGCACAAGGGTGAGGTAAGGCTACAGGGGACATGGTAGAGGCTCATGCTGAAGACCAAAGGTGGGTTCTGTAGTGAGCAGCATATCCTGCAGATCTCAGGAAGCCCAAGAGAGCTGGTGTCATCTCATGGTGTGAGATGACAAAGGAGAAAATTGAACTGACTTGAAAAAAATGTCTTTGCCTTTGCAAAGGGGTGGCATGTGGGCTGTGGCACTGGTAGTGGCAGGGCTCTTCCTGCTCCATCCCTGTGAGCATACACTGGATGTGTGCAATCAGTGACCAGGATGCTCTGGGCCTCCCCAGCAGCCTGCTCTGCCCTTTTTCAAGGGCAAAAAGCATCAAGCTACCTGCTTCCCGTGACCATGGACAAGAGGGTACTTGAGGTCAGCTTTCTCCACCAGCTTGTATCCCCTAGAACAGAGCATTCAGTGTTGATTTGGTGTCTGACTCGATGGTACAACCCAGTCCAAGCATTTCAACTGCGATTCAAGACTTGTGGTGTCCCCATGCACTGAGGAAGGCTGGAGGTGACTTGCTGAAGCAGATGCATTAAGAATGACCCCTTGTTGAATGCCAGGGTGTTTCTCCCTCCCCATTTCCTTCCAGTTGTACTGAGGCTCCCCACCTCAGCCTGCAGAACCCAGCACCATCTCCCACAGCTGTTCCCTGCAAAGGTCCTGTTCTTCAGGCAGAGCAGAACTACTGCTGGGCTCACAGCATCCTTTACCACGATAACAGCTCTGCATTCAGACAGCCCCTCGAGCATCCCATTGCCACTAGCAGGTAAAGCTGTCCCGTGCCACGTCCCTGCCCCCGCACACAGAGGACCCACCAGCCCTCCATGAAGTAATCCCTGTACAGGACTTTTTGGCCCACGTCATCTCCCTTCAGTCTCCGTGGAAACTCGAAGCGCGTGAACTCTCCATCCAGGAGTTTGGGGAAGAGAAAAGCCTGAAGGAGGGAACAAAGGCATAGGATGGACAGGCTTCGCTTCTGCAGGGGTGAGCACCAAGAGTATGCTCTGCTCACATGCTGGGACTCACACTCCCAGCTGCAAAATGGGAACAGTGGGAAAACACATCCCAAGGGCCAAGCTGGGTGTGAGCATCTCCAGCACTAAGTGCTGTTAGTTGAATCCTGCTCACAGCCCCCCGTGGCTGCTGACAGTTTGGCTCCTGCCACGAGCCCTCCCCAACCCAGATTGACGGCCTGATGGGTGAGAGGAGTCACTCACCAAGTGCTGGAGTCGCTGCCTCTCTGTCTCGGGTGTGAACTCAGAGCTCATGGGCACAATGGTGTCCTTCAGAACAAGAATGGCCCTATGAGAGAAAGAGGCAAAGAGCTGAGCTGCATCCTGCCGCATCCCCATCAAGGCTGCCCCATCTCTGCTGACCTCCTGTTACTGGGGCTAGCCCCGGGGTCAGCCAGCTGAGAGAGCTGTGGCAGAGCAATGCCAGAGAAGAGCCACACATCCAGGAGGGTTTAAAAATGCTGGTGTGTTTTAACACTGCAGTTGTGTTATTGCAGCAGAAAACTGAGCCTGCCTGGTTTAACAATGGCAGAACTCCCTGCTGGAGGAGTGGTGGCCAAAGACACATGAGGAAGCCCTTTAACATGCTTTGAAATCAAATCCCACTTTTGAACCCCTGCCAGGATCAGCTTACTGCTGCACTGCCCTGTGGCTGGGTAGCATTAGTGCTTGGAAATCTGAAAGCCCTTCTAGAAGGCATGAGAGCACCCACCCATCCATTCAATAGGTCCCGTGGCAGGCAAGCAGCTGTGCCCCAAAGCGTGCTGCACGCTTACCTTTTCTAGGATTACATAAGGTGCTGGAAACCTTATTGGTAAGGCATTGGAACAAGCTGTCCAAGGAAGTGGTGCAGTCACCATCCCTGGAGATGTTCAAGAACCGTGGATATGCAGACATGGCTCAGTGGGCACAGTGGTGATGGGTGAACAGTTGGACCTGATGATCCTCGTGGTCTTTTCCAGTCTTAATGTTTCTATGAAAGCTCTGCTAATTCCAGCTCTTGTTCCCAAGCAACCTCTCCCTTTCCTTGCACTCACCTGCTGTCCCCAGCATTTGCCACATACAGCTTTCCCTGGAAATAAAGGGCAGCCAGAGCAGTGCAGCCTCCTGTCTGGTTGGTGGCTTCCATCTCCTGCCCAATGACTTCATCCTGTGGATTTAAACAAGTCTGAAGAGCGATGTGAACCAGGGTGCTGCTTTCTGCAGGTACCTCCTGGCTCCTATCGGAAATCTGGAGCTAAAACTGATTTAAGACAGCAGGAAATCAGCAAGGTGAAAATCAGCATTGCTTCAGTGCAGCCAACAAAGTTATCGCTGCTGGACTGAATGCTAAGGACAGGCTGATAGCAGAGATCTCAAACTTGCATATGGTCTGAGTCTAACAATAGCCGTAGTCTAGCCCTGAAAGAATGTATTCCCTGGGAGCAGAGATGCTGCAGCTTTGCTCGCTGTCAGCATTACAATGCAGTGCAATGGCCATGAGGCAGACCTCAGGCAGCTGACTGACCCAGCATGATATCAGCTCGCCTTAAGGGTGTGCTCTGATAATCCTGCCTGCTCAAGGAGCTGCAGAACTCATTTGGCAGCCACAGCCTAGCCCGACATGCACAGCATCCCTTGCCCATGTGGCAAACCCAAGCAGCTGGGCAATCAGTGCCTGACCACTTCCTGATGAGAGAGCTCAGAGCAAGGGAACCCTTGCTGCAGGGACAGAGAACTCACACATTCCTGGAAGGCATTCTCTAGGGCTCCCACCACCACATCTTCTGTGTGGATGTGCTTCTCCTCCACGAATTGGGGGTCACTGTCACAAACACAGCGCCCGCTCAAGTGCATGGGGGGACGGGCCTCCACGATGGCCCCCGCAACCTCCTCCAGCTTCTGCTTGATGCAGTAGTGCAGGTAGTTGGAGGCAATGACGGCAGCTTCTGGGCCACCGTGGCCATCGAAGAGTGCCCAGTAGTAACCAGTCAAAAACTGCAAGGGAGAAGAAAGATCAAGCAGTGAAAAGAGGCAGAGAGTGGCCACGCAGACAGCAGCTCGTAGTCAGGACGTGCTGAACGTGTTCTGCCTGGCATTTCCAGCCAAAGCTGATGGAGCAACACCTTGGGGGCAACTGGGGGAACTCAAAGCAGGGCTGTACCTGTGTGGAGCACAGGATCAGCCACTCCTGGTCCTCCTCCAGGCCTGGCTCCTTCCTGCGCACGGAGATCTGGCAGCACGTCGCCTGGTCCTCATTGAACTCTGACTTCTCAGCATTGATAACCCTGCAGGTGCAAACACTCCAGCTGAGGGGTGAAGCACTGCTCAGCCAACATGGGAGTAAGCCCCTCACCTTCCTTCCAGCCCCGTGCTCACTTGCTCCCTTCTCAGAGTTAAGGAACTCTTGGCTGGGAATTTAAACATCAAGTTGAGCAGGAAAAAGCTTCACCTGGGATACAGTGAGTTATGGGGAAAGAGCTGTCATGGGGCACCCCTTTCTCCATCAGTCCCTGCTGGCAGCCAAGGCAGCCGTGCCAGGCTGGTGACAGAGCTCCTTCTGGCCTTAACGCTGGGCCCTTCTCTCCCTGCACCGCTCACCTCCTGAATGCTGCAATCCCCCGGCCTCCAGGTAACAAAGCAGTCCCAGCACAACGTCTCACTTCCCATAACCGAGGCAAACGCGGAGATTTATGGGGTTGTGTTTTTCCCTTTGCTATTACGGTGCCCTGCCAGGGCTCAGAGCTCCGGTGCCCCTCACCCCGAGAAGCCCCTCTGCCTGCTCGCTGCAGCTCATCTCCTGGGGACACGCGGGCTCCTTTCAGCGAAGAACAGAGGGTTTGCTGCCCGCCGCTGCCTCGCACAGCACAACGAACGCACCGGGGCAGGAGATCACCGCGTCCAGCCGTGCCCAATGCTCCGGGGGCTCCACGCCACGCCCGCAGCCCCCCAGCACCCGCTTCGTGCCCCGTAACCCCACGCAGCCCCCAGCCCCGTAACCCCCAACGGCCGCACTCACTCGGCATAGCCCGAACCCCAAGGCAGCGGCCGCTCCGGCCCGGTGCCCCGCACGGTCCTGCCGCCCCTCGGGTTCGCCTCCTCTTCGCCTCGGAGGAACTTGGGCCGGCGGTACTGCGGCACTGGGGCGGGCTGGGGGGAGCGCGGTGCCGATTCCCGAGCACCTCCGGGCCGTTCCGCGGGGCCGCCCCGACGCAGCCGCCGCAACCACTCGACGGACATGGAACCCCGCGGGCTCCCCCCGCACGGACCGGGCGCGGCTCGGGGTCCGGCTCCTCCCGGGGGCGGTGCGGGCGGCGGCTCCGCCCGGTGCCGGCTCCGGAAGCGTCGGTGCGGGCGGCGGAGCCGTTTCCTGCCCGGGACGCGGCGGAGCGGAGCGGAGAGGAGCCATGACGCACCAGACCGGCATCCACGGTAAGCGTGGGCCGGGCCGAGCCGCCGGGTCACGCCGCTCGTTCCACGCCGCGGCTCCCGGCTGCGCAGGGCGGGCACAGCGGGCGGCGGCCGGGGGGAGCGCGGCCGATCCGAGCGCGCTGCTGCGGGGCTTCGCGCATCCTTTGTCTCCGCGCGATGCCCGAACGCGGCTCGGCACCGCTAAGGTGTCATCTGCCTCAGCTGCTCCGTTATGCGATGGGCTTTGCGCAGCCGGTGGGCCTTTCCCTGCGATCCAGCACCGGGCACAGCCCCGCCGTGAGCCCAAAATCCCAGCGGGGAGAAGGGTGGGAGCGGCGCGGTGCGAGCCCACCGCCGTGCGCGCTGCCTGCTGCCGGCGGCCTCCCGCCGCAGGGCTGAGTTCTAAGCAGAAAGAACGCCAGCCGTGCTGTCTCTGGAATTTCCGTGTTGGAAGAAGGCCGGCTTAGGGGGAAGGATATGAGGGGGGATCCCCAGAGGCGGCTCCCCCTCTGGTTTCGGGGGGTGACGGTGTGCGTCTCCTTGGCGTTTCCCCCCCCCCCCCCCGCTCCCACCTGACACCTCCCTGGGCAGCGTTAATCAGGACCGGAGGCACTGCATAATTGATGGAACCGAATTGATATGCAAGCAGAGGTGGGAAAGATGCCTGCCCTAGGCTATGCTGGGCAGGCTGTGCCAGCTCGCTGTGCCTTCCTTTTGGCCAATGCCTCTCTGGAAGCATGGTGAATTTAGGGTGAATTTATGGCCACTGTTCCTTCGCAGCACGCTCTGGTGACGTTCCCTTGGCTCGAGGATGGCCAGGAGCATCATTCCCATCGGGTGCTCATGGAGCAGCAGTTGGGATGCGGTTTGATGGTCAGATGCTGCTCCTGCTTTGCCTGGCAGTGCTGGTGGCCAAGCAGGTGGTCCTTGGGTTCTCATTCATCGCCTCTAAGCCCTAGGCTGCCACATTAAAGCTCAGGACCTCTTTGTGCTTTCCTCCGGTTGCAACAACAACAAAACCAGAGCCAAAGCAGTGGGCACAGCACTCTGAGCTCTCAGTGCAGGCAGGGTGCACTGCCCTGCTATGGTTTGCAGCATCCTGGTGCTTGAAACAGAGGTGGAAGAGAGGCACTGGCGTTGCACCTCTGCTCTTGCAGTTCACTGACCTGTGCCAGCCCCAGCAAGGCGATCTCATCCCCTTCCCAAACTGTTTGGAAACTGCTGGGTGGGTGCATCAGGGGGTCCTTCATTCTCCCCTGCCCTGGCACAGTGGTCACCATAATTCCTTCTCCCGTCAGCGAGCTGATTCATTCTCTCTCAGATGAACACAGCAATGCTGCTGCTGCTTCCTCCCCCTCTGGGAGTGCCTGAGCTGTTTGCCAAGCAGGAGGGATTTTCCATGTCTTCCATCTTCATGTGTTGTGGGTAACTCACCCAGCCTCATCTGCGAGCCTGGCTCGCGGTGATAGCTCGGAAGGGAGAATTTGATATAAGCAGTGAAGGGAAGGCTGGGTGTGAGTGCCTCAGAAGGTCGGGTGACCTCCTTTCCCTGCACAGCAGGAAGCTGGGCATGGGGGGAGGAGCATCATTCTGTGTGAGCTGGCTTAGGGTGAGAAGATGAAGGGTACCAGGGAGAGGGAGGTGATGGTGGTGCTTGTGTGGATGGCAGAAATGTTGGGGTGAAAATGTGTCTTGAAGGGTTTTTTTCCATCTAGAAAGTGGCTTGCATGAGCAAGAATGAAGTGGGAGGTGAAGAAGGAGCAGAAAGTGGGGGGATAGCGGTGTTGTGGCTGCTGAGCTGCTCCTTGCCCATCCCTGTGGGAGCTGCTGGCTCTGCTCCGAGGCTGACTCCTGTATGAAAAGGAAGCTCCAGAAGGAAGCTGTCCCTATCCAGCATTCTCCCAAAGAGCAGCCGGGCACTGGCACAGCTGCCTGGGGAGCTGGGGGAGTCAGCATCCATGGAGGTGTTCCAGAGCCATGGGGATGTGGCACTGGGGGACAGTGGGGGGGGGGGGGGGGGGGGGGGGGGGGGGGGGGGGGGGGTGAATGGTGG